AGGGCAGCCCGCCCCAGGCAGAAGGCTACGACGGCTGGCCCCGGGCAGGGGGCCGAGGGCAGCCCGCCCCGGGCAGAAGGCCATGCCAGCTCGCCCGGGCAGGAGGCCACGACAGCTCGCCCCAGGCAGAGGGCCGCGACAGCTCGCCCCAAGCCAGGGGCCCCGGGCAGAGGGCCGAGGGCAGCCCGCCCCGGGCAGAGGGCCGCGACGGCTCGCCCCGGGCAGGGGGCCACGATGGCTGAAGTAGTCTTTTTTTAAAAAAGAAGAAAAAGTGTGTGTGTGTGTGTACCGTCAAATTGGATCTGACTGGTACAGGAGACTGCCGCTCCTCCAGCAGAGCATGAAGTAGAGTCTGGGGTTCCCCCCCCCCAGGTGCCTATTGGGGCCTGGGTTTCAGCTGTCCACACCACAGCAGTGGGCAACAAGCTTAAAGCCCCTAATGGCTCTGGGCGCTGACTCTCACCAGTGGCTATGGATGAAGTCATGGACAATGAGTTTTACGTGAGTTGTTTTGTTTCTGAAGTACTGTAAAAGGTGAGAAAGTTTCCCTTTTAACCCAAAGATGGCACCACTCTGGCAGTTCAAATCCACCAGTGGCTCCTATGTCCTTTAGGGTCTAAGAAATCCACTGGAGGGTCACTTGTTGGGACTCAAAAGGCAACCAGTTTATTGTAAAGATGCCTTGGTGGTGTGGTATTTAAGCACCTGGCTCACAACAGAAAGGTCAACAATTAGAACCCAGGAAGAAACATGGAGGTCTGCTTCCATAAAGATCACAGAAGCTCGGGGCAGCCCTGCCCAGCCCTGGGATATCACTGCGAGCTGCAACAGCAAGTTAGGTTGGTCTTTATAGGTAGGAGCCACCGCGATTTAGACTCATGAATGATTCCATGTAGGAACCGGCCCATAGCATTTCTAAGCTGTTGTCTTAGAAACCACCAACTTTTTAGTCATGGAACGCCTTTCAAATTAAAGGTCTTGGGATTTTGTGGGGAGGGAAAATTATTATGTGCTGACATTCAAAAGACTGTTCATATTTTTCCCCCAATGCCGAATGATGACGTGGTCTATAAGCTTTCAAAATTTCAGTCACATTCCGAAATGGAAAGGATTAATTTCTTGGGCCTGCCAATGTCAGTGTTCATTCCCACAGGAATGAAGGATATAAAAACACTTGGCTGAAGAGTTTTTCATACATTCTAGTAATATCAACACTTAACATCACTAGTAATGTGTTTTGCCTCTAAATCCTATCATTTAATTCCTCACTATTTAGGCTCAAACGACCTCTGGTGCCAACTGTGCTGCCAACCCAAAGGCATGCAGTTCAGATCCACAGCTGCTCCTTGGGAGAAAAATAGACAAGCTCTTTCTATGCAATTTACAGCCTCTGAAAACAGTAAGAGGCTCAACTGTGAGTCAATTTTGACTCTATGGCAATGAGTAATTAGACTCTTAAGCTCTAGTGACAGTGCATTACTCATTGAGCTGCTAACCAGAACATCAGAGCCTGGGATCCACTAAGTCATCCAAGGGAGGAAGATGGACAGTTTCCTCTCTTAAGATTTACAGCCTCAGAAACCTGATCGAGGGTCACAATGAGTTAGAACACTTGGATTTAAGCTCACGGTTGTGCACTTAACACTTGTGAACTTTATGCCAATAATTACAGTTGTGCTCCCTTCCTGTAAGACCCAAATCTCCTTGTGGTTTTAACTTACCATCATCAATATCTCAACATCAAGAAAAACCAAAAATCCTTAATGTTGGACTGATAGGCAACATCATGATGAACGGAGAAAGGATTGAAACTGTTAGTGACTTCATCTTCAATCCACAGTCAGCACACTTGGTACCGTTAGTTAGGAGATCAGAAGACGTACTAGGAAAGTCTGCAGTCAGGGACCTCACCAAATTATTAAGCAATAATGATGTCAGTTTGAGCACAAAGGGGTGCCTTATTGAGGCCATCATTTTCCCAGTCACTTGCTATCCTGCTGTGATCTAGACAATGTATGAAGATGACAAAAGAAGAATTAATGCCTTTGATCTGTGGTGCTGGAAAAGAGGGCTGGAGAGCCCATGAGCTGCCAAAAGAAAAGAACAAACATATGTCTTGAAGAAGGTGCAACTCAAGTGCTCCTTGGAGGCAAAGATGATAGATATTTCATCTCACAGACTTAAGGCATGTAGCTAGGCAAGTTTATTCCTTGAAGAGGAACATGCTTAGAAAATTGGGAGGAAGACATCAGCCAGGTGGATTGACATGGTGTTTGCACAAGAACTGTATTTTATCCCAATCATTATTTTAAAATATTACACTCTTTACATTGGTGTTAGAAAAATTAAGAAATTAAAAATACTCTTTTTTTGATTCAACCATTATGGAAGGCTGTATGGCCCTTTCTCAAAAAGTTGCAAATAGAAATACCATTTGACCCACCAATTCCACTACTGGGAATTTAAAGAAACCATAACCTCCACCCAAGCAGGTATACGCACACCCATGTTTATTGTGCCTTTGTTCACACTAGCAAAGAGCTGGAAACAATCTAAGTGCCCATCAACAAACGAGGATAGAGACACAATGGAATACTATGCAGCATTGAAAAACAAGGAACTCATGAAATATTATACAAAATGGGTGACCCTGGAGGACATTATGCTGAGTGACATGGGAGTTGAGGGAAGACAGAGAAGGAAGAGATGAATGATGTATACTGCATTGAAACAGATGAGGGAGAGAATTGTCTAAAAGGGATATATGATTGGTTATTATTGTCATTACAGGAGTCCAGAATGAAGGCTGCATAGTGAAGTGGACTTGAGGGGGATGTGTTACATAACTATGAAAAGAGTTTTTTACTTTTCAAGGAGAAGAGTGAATGGGGGGAGGGGGTCGCCAGAGCAAAAAGTGCAACAATGTATGAATGGAAACCCTAAGTCTCTATAAACTTTCATTAAAAGGAATTTTAAAAAGCTGAAAAAAAGAAATTAAAAATCTTCTTTTAAATATTTTTGTGGTTGCACAGACCCACAGTGCTGTTCAGTTTTGATCATCTTTCCCTTCCCTGGCTATCTGACCCAAGTTTACTGTTTGGTGGGACTGCTGCCACACATCTGGCAGCGCGAGGGCAGTGGCAGGGGACAGCAGCGCTCAAACCGACTTGACATTGAACAAAACAAAGTAATTCGCAAACACTGCCATACTGCACTTAATTATTGTCCAAGTGATTCTCATCTTGACTAGTTTTCTTCTAAGATCCCCAAACCTTTATCCTCCCCTGTAAAAATAAGAGACAATAAATTCCGTTTTACGAGTTATTGGGAAGATTAAAGGGAGTAATTAAACATGAAGCGCTTAGCATAATGACTGGCTAGAGTAAGCACACTTTCAGAGTAACAGGTGGTAATGAGTGTTGACATTTCCCAACATTCCTGTGTTGACATACAATACTATTTAGAGCATCCATGAAGCCCGGGGATCTCGGCACACAGCTCCGAGGGGACCCTTCGGTGGGCCTCCGGCCTCGGGGCTGCGGACCGGGCACGGAGATGGCTCTCTGTCCGTTAGCTTCGGAGCGAAGTGGACACGTGGGCACCGCGCAGAGACCACCTCCCAGGCCCAGAGGCTCGGGGGCTAACGGCGCGTGCGTCCCGGGCCCGCATAGGGCGCTAGGTAACCCGGCCGCGGTGGTGTCGCAAAAGTGTCGCAAGCACGTCCGTCCTTGACGGTTCCGAGCCGCCTGTATAAACGGAGCGTGCCCAGTTTTGAAAACTAGTATGGAGGCAGCGAGAACCTTGGCACCGTGGGACCGTAGGGCCTCCAAGGAGCGGCGGCTCGCTGGCGTCCCGGACTGCTGAGCGCTAGCCTCCGAATCCCTGCGGCCCTGCCGCAGGGCCATGCTGGCCTGGCGCGTGGCGCGCGGCTCGTGGGGGGCCCTGCGCGGCGCCGCGTGGGCTCCGGGGGTGCGGCC